GGCGTTAGCCAATATGAATAATTATAACTTGAAATATTTTGTTCCAGTAGTATTAATACTATGTCTGGAATACCCTTAATAAAGTACTTGACAATGGATTATTTAATGTGTAGCATAAATGGTAGTCTTCTTACCTTTCAGCCTGTCTGTAGGGACGCCGGCATTTCGCGCGTCGGGTTGGTAAGATGGGGCATTGGTGAAATCAAAGGGTTGGTTGTAGCAGTTTAGGTGAAACTGTTACAATGTGAGGAGAGTCCCACTTGCCGTATAAACCCATCAGTTCTCTCAGAAGCTTTCTGGTAATTAACTTTCTGGTAGGGGAATGCTTCCAGATTGGTATTTATAGTAGCTGGAAGTGCAAAGATACTGCCAGTTATGTTGACAGTGTCTGCTTAACACCGTTGAGTTGGCATACTGATTCCTGCGTGTTTTTCCATTTGCACACTATTTTTTTTAACCCAGTATTATGTCAGTGACTGACTTTTTTAATCAGTAGAATCAGTAAGAGGGGAAGAGACACAAGTCAGACTTTTGTACTGATGCTTTAGGCTATTGGACAGAGTTTGTCTTCCAGATCTGTATGTGTTGATGAGAAAATGAAGAACCTCCTCCCAGCTGCTTGTTACCATCCTCCTTCCAAAGTCTGCTGCTGACTGAGATTCATCAGCTGATCTGCTTGGAGGCAATTTAAACTCTTAAAACTAATCCAGATTGCTGGGAATAATGCAAGTTAGGGAGTGGTCCTCTGAGCAGCTGAACTGGCAGATCTTTGAAGCTAGTAACACAGGGAAGGGTAGGGAGATGGAAAACCACTGAGAATGGGCTAGTAGTTTTTAATGAAGTTTGCTATTGTTCTGTCTGTTCAGAGTCATGAAAAAACAGTGGAACTCTTTCTCCTTGGTTTATATCCCTGTTGCTTCCTTTATACTGGTACAAACGTGCATCCACTTGCGCAGAAAACTGATTTAGTCATCTGTCTATAGTTCCCCTCAAGAATTAGCTTTCAGTTGGATCTGTTTTCTCATCAATTTAGTGGCTGGCTGTGCCAATTCCAGAGCTGGATCTTGAGAAGAACAAGAAGGGGCAGATGGAACCAGCCCTGTTCAGTGGGAACCCACACTGATGTCAGGCTCAAAGTCACTGTGGAATTGCACTCTTGGTAATGGTTACTTTGGCTTTCTATGTGGAAAGAGGTTTTACGGTATAGCCGTGGAGTTAAATTACAATAAAGGCATCCTCAGCAGATGTTTGGGATGGTGATCATAGGACTTTTACAGTATGGCTGTAATGAAAATGTTACAACTTACAGCTTCTGGCAAGGTGTAAATGTTTGCAAAATATGGCCTTAGATTCTTAAAATAATGTATGCAGTAATTAAAAAACCAAAACAAAACCAAAAAAAACCAAACCAAACAAAAAAAAAGGTTCATGTCATCTAGGAGCCTGTAATCTTAACTGCTATTTTTACAAGAGAAATTTACACAAATGTAATATGACAAGTAAAAGTTCTCTGTACTTCTAAAAATTGTAGGCAATGGCCCCTGGAAGCACGTTTAAGAATGCTGAACTTGTATTACCGTGTGAATGGAAAGAATGCTTCTTTGTAGGGAACACCATC